TAGCCGTGACAGAGGTTTTATTCTGTCTGAGTGCTATGTAGACTGTCAGGGGTATTCCTGGATCCCGCAAGCTGGAAAGTCTGTGCAGCAGTTCGGCACATTCGGGCACAGGCTCTCCCCGCTCCTCGTGTCGGCGACGGCAGACGGAAGGCCGCTCACCGTGTGGGCGACGGGAGTTGCGCACCTGTTCCAGGCAAAAGCCGCTGACACCTGATGCTATTAGATGCTCAATGATCAGTTTGGGTCTTCAGCACGAAGCATATGGAATATGGCAGGCTTTTGAGTGTGTGACTGCTCGATGTGCGCAGCCTGATGAATCAGGATTGCTTGCCTTCCCCTTGACATGTACATGTTTTGGATGGCACATGTGGCATACAGGCAGTCGGTGGGGGACCGTTGTCGATGTTGGCCCGGAGGCCACTACAGTCTCCATCGCGCCAGAAGATGTTCCCGAAGAGCAGGCCGAGCAGGGGCTGTGGAGTACTTGGCACGAGCGCAGAATGGAGCAGACTGCTAGGGCCAGGAAAGAAAATGGCAGCTGGTCGGAGCTGTGTTTTTGGGGAAGACAAATCTAGCAGGCTACCCTGTTACAAACATCATTCGTTGCGCTATGCTGTCATGCCTGCCACGGTTTCCCACAATGGACAGCCGATATCCTCGCCTCGGAGCAACAGAGAGTCTGCGGGTAACACGCGGCCCGCATCGCAACTGGGCCAAAGATCACGTGGGACTGCACAAGGCGACCCCCGAGACTCCAGTAGTAGTAATCAGAGTTGCTTGCAAGGCTGCTGTGCTGAATGATCTCGTTCGATGTTGTAGCTTGTTCATGCCGGTCCCGTAACCAAATCACTGCGGCGCATGTCATCTCAGTCGGTCGACAAGGACAAAATTTCTGCAAGAGAAGAGGACGTGTTTTGTGATGCTGTGGCGGTCGAGAGATGCGTCAAAATGTTTCGATGTCGCCACGAAACATGTGCAGTGACATAAGTTGCTCGATCGAGGCTTGGAAATCGAATTCGGAATTACTCCAAATCCGTCCACTTGCAAAGCAAGATAAAGCCATCAGAACCTTTTTAAAATGAAGCCGCAAGAAAAGGCCGAAGAGATATGCAACGGCAAGCGTAATGAAATGAAGGCAGACCGGTAACGAGGTCACGGCCGCGGAAGACTTGAGGGTGCATGCTGTCACGGTGGATTGGACTGACCGGAGTCGGCTGCCGGTGTGCGGATATGTGCGGATGTCAAATGATTCTTACCCGTTTGCAGGTGGCAGAAGGAGGTATGCACAGCACTCCTGCTCGGAGACCCACCAGAGATTACTCAAAGCTGCCGCGCACCCAGACACCAGCAGAGTCGGGCCGGGTCAGACAAGTACCCGCTGCTTCTCCGGAAAAATCCATATTGCAAGCTGACCAGGACGAGCTTCGTGCGAGACGACACAGATGAGCTTGATGGCACAGACACGTGGAGGTACTTGCCAGGGTCGAAGTCACGCTGTAATGCTTGCTTCTGGGGGCACTTGGGGCTGCTGTTGCTCAAAATGGAAGTACCCTTAGTGGCCGCTTGTGTAGACACCTCCAAACCTCCCGAAGCTCAAAGTGATGTGTCCAACACCCCGACATCCTAAAGCCTCAAGCCCCAAGCAACTGAAGGCTGTAACTGTAAGCTCTGTCACCCACTCCCGTCTACCCTAAAGCTCTCACACTCGACCCATGAGGACCTGAACATCTGTTACTTAGCCTTTGTCATAGCAGTTTATAGCAGAGAGCTCAAACGGTTACGGGTTTCTTTCACATAATGTATGAGAGACGGATATTCTCCCTGGGCGCTTCTGGCCCCCTCAGCTCAGCACAAGAAAGATCGGACACAGACGGCAAAAAGACGAGATTCAGAGGGAGTCCTGAAGGCAAGGACGGATTTGGATTTTTGAATGAGAGCGGCCTGCAACAGTGCGCGTTGTCACATTGTAAACAAGGGGCGGAGTTTGTCACACCCACCAACCGTACATCGCGAACCATAGGTACTACGCCCTGGTGGCGGAGAAGGAGGTTGAAAACAGCACGCGTGCCAAGTGCTGCAAACTAGTCTTTTTCTTTTTTGATGGCCAAACCAGGAGGTGCCTGCTAAGCGAGCTTCATCACTCACAGCATCTTACCAAACCTGTCTCAAAAGGGACACAGCGCATGCTATGTTCTACATGAAGGTTTATGAGTCGCTGTGATGGTGAGCTGTGGAAGCTGGCATAGGATCCTGAGACAAAAAGCTCTTTGTCTTGCCCTGAACCTAGATGCCGGTTTCCACTGAACATGACCATGATTGCGTCGATCACAAGCATCCTTCCTATTCATTCAGGCAAGCTGGTGGAAGCCCAGCTGGCAGAGGGCAGCGAAGCTGCTCCTCAGCCATCGTTAACGCCAACACGAAGGCAAATGTGCGTAAACTTGGCAGACATGCTATCGACATCTGTCGACTTTGATGTAGTGTGGGCGCAGGGGATGCAATGCAAAAATACTGCGTCGGGTGGAGCTGGTTGCAGGTCCGTCGTCCGGCGGCCGCAGCTATTACAGAATTCGATGCTGCAGCACCTGGGCTTCAAAAAGTGCTTGGGTCGGCCTGGCCTAGTCGCAAAGTGGGTCACAATGGGTCGTCAACTGCATCAAATCCAAAACAACTAGTAAATAGAAGGCACGGATTATCAGACAACCTTTATTTGCTGTGTGCTCTCCGTCGGTGCCAGCAGGTACCTGTCTCACACCGTGTGCGATGCCATCGAGCAAGGCCAGCACAACAGCACATCAAGATAGGGTTTGGTCACGAGCGAAACTTATGTCATGTCTGGGAGAACTTAATTGCCTTCACTATCCTACACTTTGCGTGATGTTGCAGTGTTGCTAAATTGATGTCGGCGCCGACTGGAATTCCAAGACACTGTACGGAGTATGTCAACTTGACATCGCTGTCCGTTTGTTCCAGACTCCAGACAAACTAACGAAACTGCGCAGGCATCATCTGCAAAGAGGACTTCCCTCGAGCAATTCTGGAGGACAAGCACAGCAAGTACAATGCCAGCAAGGCCGAAATCGATGTGTGTTTAAGTTTGACAGAGGGAGAATGAGGGAGAACATCCGCGATGAGACACCGCACAATGTGGTGCAGGAGAGCCTGTAGGGCCCAAGCAGGTTGACTCTGCTATGCCGCTTTGCCTTGTCGGAGGGCCGCTTCGAAGCAGTCGTCGTCTTCATGGACGCCTCGGGCTTCACAGCGCTGACGGAGTCCCTGGCGCGCCAGGCTCACGGAGCAGCTCGGCAATGCTCGGCACGAATGAGCCCCCTGTTTTCGTCAGGGAGCGATGATGAGCGATGAGTTTTCGACATGAGCAATGCACACGGTAGAGAAAGCAGCTCTCAAAGTGCCTCAGGGGACCTTGTCTACAGTACCTGCGTGATCCGCTGTGTGCCTTGCCAAGCATACGCACGCTACGCCGCAGCTCAGTATTAACACGAACAGCCTAGAGCAGTCCAGCAGCGCGCGTCGTTTTTGCATGTGTGGGCATGGTACACTCAGGTGAAGCGTCTTGCGACAGGATGTCATATCTAGTGCGCTAACGGATGACGCGGGGAAAAGCTTGTTCTGGCCTTGTTTTTGCCCTTTTCGCTTTTGGTCCTGGCTTGGCGGAGCGCATATTCGGCTCCTTGGCTTTTTGGCTTCTTGGCTGTTTGCCTTTGTTGCCTCTTGGCTTCTTGGCCTAGCGGCTGTTACGGTTTCCCGGCTTCTTGGCTTTTGGACCTCGCGGGCTTGCCCCCTCCCCCCACCGGCCAAATTTCCCCCCACCCCTGCTGAAGCCAAGCCAAGCCATTTTAAAGACTGCCCTCTTTACACTCAGTAGGAAATTATCAAGTCACATCACGCATTGGTTGCCAGACTAGATAGTGTTGTAGTATGTATACTTACATTTGTATTGTAACATGGTATCACAGACTCATACAGGCTGCATCCCCCCAAGGATAATGAAGGCAGGAAGGCTGTGTATTCAAGCTGTTTGCTGTTTCGCAGTTCATGCAATTCCTTCCTTGGCTGCTGTGAGTGGCCGGGAGTGAGGGGGGAAACCGCCCCCTCCGCCCAGCGCCCCCTTCCTCGCTGAAGCCACAAGCCCTTTTGGAGACTACCCCATTTGCGCTCAGTACTGTAGCTGCTCCGCAGAGGGTGCGCTTTGCGTTGTTATCCGGATCAGGCGGCTAGGCCAGCGCTGCAAGGCACGATAAGAACATGTAAGAACATTCATCATCTTATCAGGAACGATGACGAGAGCAGGAAGGCTGTACAGACAAATCAAAAATTGAGCGCTACAGCTGTGACTTTGTTTAAGATAAAACTATTGCTATTGCTGCTGCTACTGCTGCTGCTGCTACTGCTACTGCTACTACTACTGCTACTTCTGCTACTGCTACTGCTACTGCTACTGCTACCATTACGACGTAGAGAGCGAACCAGCCATAAAATGATAAGACCAGCGTTGCCAAGGCTTCGGAGAGCTACTGTGCACACGTCAGTCTAGAAGCGAGAAAACCGAGCTCCCTCAATCCCAAACCCAAAGCTGATAAACCCCTAAAGCCTAAAGTCAGCACAGCAGGCTGTGTCGTGTCGATCTGCTGCTTCTTGCGTCCAGTTTGGCTGAGTACTCGGCCGCTTGTGGTCATGTGGACTTTTTCCTTGAAATCCTGTTCATGCGTCTTGTTAAGACTTTTGCAACACGACCCAAGCCATCAACCCTAAACTCCTCCTCCGTTCTTCTTCCTTACTTGTTCGTGCCTGAGGTTCCCCAGGGGCAGACTCGCATATTCGGCCTGAACTTCTAGACACCTCAATCGCAACTGCAAGGGCTCATGGGGCGTAATTGTGCTAGAGACATAGGCCCATAGCCTCATACCCTATACCCTCGATCCAGAAGCCAGGGCCAAAGGCCGCGGCCTAACTGCCATAAACCCTAAACCCGAAATCGCCTGGTGTAGTCTGTCGGGGAGTCCAAGCGAAATGGAGTCTGCCTTAAGCAAGAGGCAGCGGCGTTTCAGCCATGTCAAAGCTATAATCCTAGTCCTGGCAGGGACAGCCAAACTTGGAGGATCACGGGACCTAGCAATTGAAGCTATAAGGTTGGAAGTAGCCTGATTGCGGTTATGTGAGATATTATAAGTATGGGTACCCTGATAAGATCCCTAGTTATAAGCTGCGTCCAACAACTCTCGAGATAGCTTCGAAAAAGCTTTGGCAAAAGCGCCCTTGACCATCATAAACTGAAACACCGGATCGAACTGTCAGAAAGTATCAGGGCCTGAAGGTCTCAGGGGTTGCTGTGGTATACTACTTGAAGGAACCCTAGTAAACCCTAAACCGTAAACCCTGAACCCTAAACCCTAAACCCTAAACCCTAAACCCCTAAACCCTAAACCCTAAACAGTAAACCCTAAACCCTAAACCCTGAACCCTAAACCGGGATGGCACTGCTACTTCTTCAGCCCAAAGTGACGAGTGGCCGACAAGACTCGGCTTGCCACAGTCGGACATGTTCGGAAAAACGCAACCCGAAGCCTGGGCCATAACCCTAAACCCTAAAGCCTAACCCCTAAACCCCTAAACCCCTAAACCCCTAAACCCTAAACCCTAAACCCAAGTTTAGGGTTTTGGGTTTAGGGTTTAAGGGCTCTGACATCGATCGAGATGCCACCAACTGCTCTGCAAGTTCGATATCCAGAGGCTGGTCGCTCTCAGCCACCACCGCCTTAGGCTTTCCGGAGGAAGGAGTCGCAAGAGAAATCCAAAACTATGCACGCCTTTTTGAATACAAGCCTTCTCCGAAACCTGGATACTAAACCTCAAACTGCCGCCCTGTAAGTTAACAAGGGCATATCTCGTTCAGCGACCTACACACGACTGTCTACACATGCCTGCCAGATAGGCCTGGCCCCTGACAGGAGGAGCTGTCTCTAAGCCTCAAATTTCGGCAAGATGCTGGCACCGTAGAGGCCTTAATAATTTCGTATGGCTATAGACAGGGGGCGATAAGGGAATCTCATTACTAATCGCTCAGATCGCCATACCGAAGGGACCGAATATCAAGAGCTTCAACTGGGCCCTAAACCCTAAACCCTAAACCCTAAACCCTAAGAAGGCTTGAAGTCCCGCACCTGCAATCCGAATCGCAGGCGGCTGTCCAGGCATTGCTGCAACTAACACGGCTTACCTATAGTCTCCATTGTAGTTCCTTTTTTTGGTTTTACCAAATATATATTAAGGATTTTATAAGGTACCCCCAAAAAGGAACTACAATGGAGACTATAGGTAGGGTTCATAGGGTCATAGGGTTACGGCTATGGCAACTAACGTGCGAGAAGTGTCAGCCGGAAACGCTAAGCCACAAACTCCTAAACCCTAAACCCCTAGACCCTAGACCCTAAACCCTAAACCCTAAACCCTAAACCCTAAACCCCTAGACCCCTGAAGTCCCTAAACCCTGAGCCTCTAAACCGCAGTCCCTGAACAGCTGAATCGCTTAAGCCCCACAGCCCTAAACCCTGAACCCCTAAAACCTAAATCTTAAACCCCGATTATAAGCCCCTAAACCCTAAAACCCCTAAACCCCACATACCTTTTTTCTGAACCCTGGCTCTGATCATCAGCTATACCCTTAAACCCTACCCTAAACCCTAAACCCTAAACCCTAAACCCTAAACCCTTAATACCTAAACCCTCAGAGAAAGTAGACCTCAGCCGGCCGAGGAGCCCAGCGATCAGAAGTCCAAGGTGCGCGGCGCCTGAGGCAGCTCTCGAACATATAGGGGTGTAGGGTTTAGGGTTCAGGGTTTACAAGGGTTTAGGGTGGGTTTACAGGGGTGTAGGGTTTAGGGTTTATAAGGGTTTAGGGTTTAGGATTTGGGGTTTAGGGTTTATCAGGGTTGAGGGGCTTGGGGTTTAGGGGTTTAGGGTTTATAAGGATTTAGGGGTTTAGGGTTTAGGGGTTTAGGGGTTTAGGGTTTAGGGGTTCAGGGTTCAGGGGCGCCTGGTTCAAGGTTGACAAGTGGTCCAGGGGGTTTCAGGGTATTTGGACTTGCATATGCTTGGAACCGGGTGCCTTCAAACTGTTATACTAACGCATCTAGAACAGGGTCCCATGATGTAGGGGCCCTAACACTTCGAATAGGGTTTTGGGACACTGGGGCATACTTAACTTAAGCAGGGACCTGAGGGAAGAGTATTAAGTTGGAGTCGGGCATACCTCGAGGGAACAGTAATGTACTAAAGCCTATAAAACCTACGGTATCGGACTCGTTCCTCATTAAATCAAGATCTCGTCTGAGGTGGAGCCTTAGACCATGGCTACTACGCCACAGCTTTGTATAGCCATGCAGGAAGGACCCCCTCCGTGGCAAAAGCCCAGACATCCGAAAGCCTGGTGGAAGCCTGGCCGCCATCCGTGCCATCCTGTGCAGGGGTTTTAGATTCCACACGAAATCGGTGGGAAAAAAAACAAAGCCCGACATAGGCTTCCATCCTCAAGCCCTAGAAAGCCCTGCAGGGAAAAACATCTTAATGATCTAGAACCCTAAGACGCTAGTCCCCGAAGCGCTGAAACCCTAGGCCGAGGGGGGGCCTTGATAATTGGGAAATGGCCTCTTTCAAGGTCTGCTCTGAGGTGTAATATGGGAGTTTGCGAAAACACGGGGTACCTTATTTGGGGGTCCTTATAATAAGGATCGGCTCCTACTATTGAGGGTACTATATCAGGGTCCTCTGTTTTCGGAACCCCTCATATAGCGGCCTTACGAACTAGAATAGGGCTTTGGAGCATAGTACACTGTAGCCATAACCAGGAGTCGGAGGAACAGTCTAGGTAATGATCCAGGCTTGTAAATCCGGAGCTCTGCGTGGAGGTTCATGGAACTTCGTTACTAAGTACGGTCTTCAATAGGCTTATATTTCTAAACATACATGCATTGAATATAACCCCAGCTAAAACGTCCCATCTCAAGTGGCCCGCAAGGGAAGAAGTAAACAGCCGGTGCTTCGGTCTGCAGAAAGCCAACGCATGTCATTCGGATCTTAGCGCTCCTTTGTTTAAAGGATCATGGGACTTGGGTGATATTATTACGGTAACTCTGCTTACACTTACTTACAGCCCTGCTTAGGTACATGTATCCTTACTTGCAAAGTCCACGATCCTCCCTCCATGTAAGGATTTACATACTATGCAAACGTAAACAAAATGACCTATAGTATACACAAAGGGTTTACGGCACAAGGGTCTGCGATGCTTCCCTTACTCCCCTTAGAAGGTAGGCAGCAACAAATACAAATGCATGTGTGCATAAATAAATAAACCTACGTGTAAGATGCATAGATGCTTGTATGTATGTATGTATGTATGTATGTATGTATGTATGTATGTATGTATTGGACATCCCTCTGGAAGACACCAAAACCGAACACAGAACACTCGACGAACACCAACAAGAGCCGTGTCAGTCAGGGACCCTTCCAAAGATCGCATTAAGATTCGGATCGAGGGTCTTCAGGGCTTCCGATTCAGGATTTAGTGTTTCGGGATTTAGGGGTTTGAGGTTTAGGCTTTCGGGATTTTGTGGTGTTTCGGCTAAGAGGATCTGGTCGCAACAAATCCCACAACTTCGAGAACGAATTCTTAAGGCATAAGCCCTGAAACCTACACACCTCTAATAGGGCCCCAAGAAGGCACATAAGCAAACACAATTGGATAGGGATATCCCTTATAAACCTCCTTGTAGTGAAACTCAATAAGGTGGAGATGTCCCGGTAACATGCTTACACCTATGTGCTTTTTGGCGCCTCTGTCTAACTCTGTATGTAAAGCCCTGTAGTAGTTTACTACATTCAATCTAAACACCCCCAAAAAGCACAATCGCCTAGACTGAAAACCTCATGATCATACCTTCGTAAGCCCGAAATGTGCAAGTTCTCAAGGATCACCTCGCATCTCTCCGGAAACATTCAAGCTCCTTCTGCGGACTTCCTCCGTCCAGCTTCCTTGCACATGCAGCCCTCAACCCTAAACCCTATAAACCCAAAGCTCTGAGCTCACCATGCGAGCACCATCCCCGCCTCGAGCTCAAGCAGGCCGACGTCTTCGCGGCAAACTGATTCCTCCAGGGCCTTGGACTCTCCAGCACGCTGAAGCTTACTCTGGAGCTGTCGTGCTTAGGCTTTTTTTTGAACCCCGACTCTGCCAATCAGCTGGGTTTAGGGTTTAGGGCTTAGGCCTTAAACCCTGAACCCCAAACCCTAAATCAACCCGAAACCCATGACCCTCTCAGTGCTTTTTTGGGGATGTGCGGCTTAGGATTTTAAGGCCTTAAATGTGTGTCATGTGAGGTCGCGTGCTCTGGTGCGAAATACGCCAAGCTGTGGGCTCGCAGCGCTTAGGGTTTCGGGATTTACGGTGCTTATAACTATACTCCATATAGGTTCAGGGTTATTCCTGTGTAAGCCAACAACAATAGCGCCATCAAACCCATCTGTTTCTTTTTGCTTAAAGGAACTGAGTAGCCTTCGCCGCCTTTATCGGGCGTGGGACTGGCAGGGCTGGTCCAACGCCGGAAAAGCTTGGAGGGATGTGGGTAGTTTTCAAAATTAGGGTCCCTTTTAAGGTCCTTTTTATAAGGGTGCCGTACTATATTGGGGGACCGAAAAAGGGACCCTAATTTAAGGAACTACCCATGTGTTGGAGCTTCAGAAAGCTTGGGTGTGGTCTAGGGAGGATGGACACCCAGCTGGGAGGTGTTTCTGTTTAGAAACACCACCCTAGAAACTAAGGGCACCATGAATGACAATCGTTATCTGAGCATCTGCTTATGAAAGTCCGAAAAAAAAACGCGACACACACACACACACAAAACAAAACACCAAACACGAAACCACACACACACACACACACACGCCCTCGGATCTCCATGGATGACAGCCCCTGAAGCCAAGCCCCATAGTCTCCCCCTGAACCCCAACCCCAAAACCCCATCCCCATAGACACAAACACAAGCGCACGCACACAAAACAATCATTGACCGCTAAAGCCTTAAACCTCCAAAGCGCAAAGCCTAAAGACCGATACCCTGCATCCCGCGAATGAACCTTAACCCCCAAAGTCTCTAAACTTGCAAGCGCCCTTGCCGAGCAGGCTTCGGTCGGATCTCGCTCTATCGTCGGCTTCGGCTCTCTCCTCAAACAGCGTGCGGCTCGACGGATCAGGGTTTGAGAGGTTTAGGAGTCTGGGCCTATAGAGGATCAGGGTTTGAGAGGTTTAGGAGTCTGGGCCTATAGAGGTTTGTGGTATTGAGGGCTTTAGAGGCAAGGGCCTTTCTTGTTTCGGCTGCACGTGACTCACAGTCACACTGTCAGAATACCTGTTCCTACTCCTACTCCTGTTGCTACTCTTCCTACTTCCTTTGCTATGAATACTGCTACTACTACTACTAC